GGCCGCAGATGCAAAGAGGGAGGGGAAGGAGCTCAGGGAGTGAAGTGGAGGAGGAGGAGGATTTGAGGGGCTTGGCAGGGGGGGGAATTTGGTTGCCAAAGGAGTTGAAAGGACCTACCAATACGTCAGCACCCAATGGCGAATACAGTCTCTTTTTTCGGCGGATGTTTCTATTGATTAGAATCCTCCTTGGCCAATATCGTGACCCTGCATAGGTGTACGCGAGCTTCTCAACAGCTTGCATTACCCCCGAAGGCCCCGTTAATCCTTCCAGGACCGTTATCCGCACTCGGTCATCAATTACCTGCATGGATGGACACATGTACATTGTACAATCATTGTGTTCATTCAAAGTCCAAAGTTTCAACTTTAAAGTTCAAACAACTAAAGAGGGCAAAATTGAAAATAGTAAATTACTAAAATACCTAATTAATAATTATGGAGTAGTAATCAATGAGTTCAGACAAGTGATGACAGTGGAAAAAACCTAAATCGCACCGTATGTTTTTCCTTGGGTCTGTTTTGTTGTTAGTGATATGGTGTGTGAACCTGAAGTTTGTCGAGTCTTCTGTCTGGTGTGGGTGGGTGACAGTCTGCTTTTGAGTTTTGAGTTTTGAGTTTTGTCTCAAGTACCCTCGAGGGCAGTGGTTTGTGCCCGCCTGGGGTAAGATGGGGTTAAGGTGGATTATCACTTGCAGTAGTGTCATTGGTTAGGGGACTCTGCAGACTGTAGAGCATTGAGCCTCCAGACGAGTCATTGAAACTGCCACAATTCAGTCTGTTACAGCCCCCCATTTCTCTGTGTCTATTTATAGTATCCTTTCTACCTGGTTCACCGGGCAGTTCTCTGTGTCTATTTATAGTATCCACTGTCCAGTACTATCCACATATTATTGTTTTACGCTGTATATAACAAGCTACTGCCCGCTGCTGCTCTCTAACATTGGGCGCCTTCTTGGGTTGAGGTTCTGGCCGTTCAGCTTTGTAATCCATGGCCACTATCGAGCAAGCCGTTTAACTGTGTTGCTGTTCCCGCTTGTGGGAAGAGCATGCTCTAAAGGCAGGTTGAGCAGGGGGTAAAACAAGTAGGAAAAGAGTCAGCGGGATGAAAGTGTGTGCACATGCATTGGACGATTGGCAAAGGTGACGATGGAGGCGACCCTTGCACACACACACACACACACACAGAGGAGCATACCTTCCCTTTTACTCTGCCTCCTGAAATAACATGCAAGTGGGCCGTGAAGGCACACGGGGATGTGGGCAGCTTCCGCTCAACCACAATCAACGTGGGCAGCCTTGTGCGTAAGAGGCACAGTAAAAGGGGAGCTGCAAGCACAATGAAAGGGGTACCCCAAGGACAACCCAAAAAAAAGTGTCTAATTATAAAATTGCTTTAATATGTTGGACATCTCAAATTCTCTCGTTGTCTGCAATAGGACATAGACTGCTTTGATTCTGAATCTATTCACCTGGGTGGAATTGGGGCTGTTGTGGGGAAAATCTAAAACACACACACACACACACACACAC